TTTAAGATAATTTGCTCTAAACTAATCCGTAATAGAAGAATGATGGCAACAACTTTGGTGATAAGACTAATGCTCAGAAGCATCCATCATCCTATTTGTCCGACTAGCCTGAGCACTAAGCCAGCCTTGGTAGCGGAAGCAGAAAATTAGAGATAAAGGTTGAACATGGAAGAGTAAAATCGATGTAATTATATTTGACAGTCTCTATGTACTTATCCACAATCTTTAAAAGTACAATTACTTTTTTTTTTTTAATTCAGAGGCTACTGGACTAAAGATTGAAGGGTGAAAATGGGGTACAGTAAGACAGTGTACTTATCAGCAATTTTTAGAAGTACACTTTTTTTTTAATCAGAGACTATGGAACTAAAGATTAAAATGAGTAAAATTATGTAATTATGTTTGATGGTGCTTATCAGCAAAATTTAAATGTACTAAAATGTTTTCTTGTAAAAATCAGATATTATCAGACTAAACAATGGAGAGTGAAATTAAAGTAATATGGTTTGACAGTACTAACAGCTATCTTTAAAAGTACAATTAAGTTTTTTTTTTGTTTTTTTTTAATCAAAGAGTGTGGGACTAAAGATTGAAAAGTGAAATTGATGTAATTATGTTTGGTGGTACAGTACCTTTAAAAGTACATTTCTTTTTGTAAATTTAGAGATTATGTGGTTTAAAAAATGAAGAGTGAAATTGATGTACTGTAATTATGTTTGGCAATACTTTTAAATGTACCAAACGTTTTTTTCTCGAAAATCAGATACTAAGGCACTGAACATAGGAGAGGTAAACTGATGTATTATTATAGACAGAACAATTACATGTAGAAGAAGTTTTAACATGTTTAATCTATCTAAAACAGATCACATTTCAAGAAAGCATTGATCCAATAAAAAATATTATGACCAAAGGAAAACATACTATTGATTACTACTAATTAAATTAGAGGAAAATATGAACTAAACAAAATATGCTAATTATTGAATTATGTTGATGGCCCACTTGGTGACAGCAATAGCCAAAAATGCATTTGACTGCTGCTGGATTGCCACTGTGCAGTACTGTGGTTGCAACAGGTCCTAGGGGTCGAGCCAGATTTCCTATCAACTAGGGTGAATGATTTACACAGTTTACCTAGTAAGCTGTGGAATTGGGTAATAAGGCCACTAAGTTGGGTTTTACGATTTACTATCTAAAACATAAATATGTCCACAGACTCAACAAATAAGATTTATTTTTGTATCATTCATTCTAAGCTACAACACTTTCATATTTTAAAGGTATTGAGTTTCATATTTTATTATTTTAAAATGATAACACAACAAATATATTCCAAGAATTCCTGTTGGCTTTTATTCAGAATCTTATTTTGACTAAGGTTAAACATAGTGTTTTGGCCTTTAATATTTTAATTTTACTAAACAAATGTTCTTGAATAACTTCAACCACGTTAACTAGAAAAAATAAAAGAGAAAATAAATCTGTCACTTTATAAATTTTTTATTCTAGATATTCCTGAATCAGTCAATTTATATTTAATATCGTAAACATTGAAATTGTGCAGAATTTATCTAAACTAGATTTCAGGAAATTGTTTGATAGGTATATGGGTTGGGTGGATAATGACATAGGCAGGTACCTGGTATAGGCATGATTCCAACCAATTACAACACCACATGGTAGAAAAGATTTCAAACCTAAATAGGATATAAACCAGAAATTTGTCAGTCGCACCTTTCTGACTATGTTTGATAATCAAAGGCATCAAGATATAATTCAAGTTTACCAGCTCTTAAAAATTTTCATTGAAACACTCTGAATACTAAACTATACTGTAATGAAACTGTAATCATGTTTAAAATAATGAATTCAAAAATGTTAACCTATCTGAGGAATATATTGCAGGAGAACAAGACTAGGTCACACACAGAATATAGGAAAAGGAGTTCTTCATATCAGGGAGGCAATCTGTGGAATTAACTAAACAGTAATGCAGAGTTAGCACCAAATGTCCATGCTTTAAAAAAAATTATACATACTGATTCAGACTAGATCTTTTTTTTTCATATATTTATGTTTTGTTGTTTTTCAAAGCTTTTTATTATTCACCTATAATTTGTGTATGCATAATTTTTCAATGCATTGTTTTAAACTTAACAGTAATGCAGGGTTAGCACCAAATGTCCATGCTTTTAAAAATATATATACTTACTGATTCAGACTAGACCTTAATTGAAGTTTTGGTTTTTTTTCATTTATTAATGTTTTGTTGTTTTTCAATGCTTTGCATTATTCACCTATAATTTGTGTATGTACAATTTTTCAATGCATTCTTTTAAACTCAACAGTAATGCAGGGTTAGCACCAAATGTCCATGCTTTTCAAAAAATTATACTTACTGATTCAGACTAGACCTTAATTGATGTTTTTTTCATTTATTTATGTTTTGTTGTTTTTCAATGCTTTTTATTATTCACCTATAATTTGTGTATGTATAATTTTTCAATGCATTCTTTTAAACTTAAAGATACCCACAAAATAAAAATATAATTATTATATTATATATTATTATCTAACAACCTGTCTGTTTTATAGTTCACTATCATTTAATAGGTCCGGCATCAGGCATTAGCAGACAATAAATGTAAAAAAAATGATGATTTTTGTCATTTTTCTTTCACCATATTTTCCTTTTCATACGAATACATACAATTTTATCTTCCTCTAGTGTTTTTAGTTTTTGTACTTTCATGACAATGACGAAAAAATAGATAACCTTTAATATTTATTTATTTCCATTTTATATTTGGAAATAAAAACTTTGAAGAAAATTATCACAATTACTAAATAAAAAATATTTATTAATATGAAGTAGTTGAAAACTGAGAACCTTGTGTATTATTGTGTCTATTTATTTGCATTCAGAATGTTTATACTTGTTCCTTATTTCTATCTATTAAAAAACAGATAGCCCTTAATATTTATTTATTTCCATTTTATATTTGGAAATGAAGACTTTGTTGAAAATTATTATAATTACTAAATAAAGAAATATTTATTAATATGAAAGCACACTATCTGTAGTAGAGATCGCTGATAGTGTACAGCAAACCGTCTAAGACCGAGTGAATAAACTCTAGCCCGCGCCTAACAATTAATTCTTGACACAGGTGTGTATTGTTCATGAAATAGGAACTTTATTTATGACAACAATTACATGATTTTACGTTCGTAAAATCGGGAATTCGTAAAATCAGGGAATTCGTAAAATTGGGAATTCGTAAAATCGGGGTTCGTAAATGAGGGGTTCTACGGTATTCCTTATTTGTTGTATGTATTTTTATAAAGAAAGACAATATACATAAAAATAAAATGAAACTAGACAGTTGGATACATGCCATGGCTGCCTTAAAATTACTTACTCCTGCATAAAAAATAATAAGATGGAAGCGAATAAGCACATTTAGCATTTTATTATATTTATTATGACATCTTTTGGGACTAATAATGCATAAATAGCTACAAAAAACTTTTACTTGTAAATAATGAGCCACATTCTTTTGTTGAGCAATTAAGTGATTTTTTTTTTAATGACTTCCATAATGCATTGGCAAGAACCGATAAATCAGATTAATACCAAAAAAAAACTTCTTTAAAACATTTATTTGGTATGTAAATTCTATTTTGGCATGGTTAGCGTAGATGATGCTATTAAAATAGATTTGCTATTTGCGTTTTGCTCTACAGCGCATAGAGACAATGTGTTATGCGCTATGTAAGTCTCCAACCATTACCATCACCATTAAATTGTCAAGTGACGACCCTTTTAATACAGTTGGTTTGAGGATACAGATAATGGCAGTGGTTAGTTTTTTACACTTTGTAGCACCAGATTAGAGGTAGGCTACAAACCTCAACAATAATATTTTTCTATTTTCATTTAATTCTTTGGCCATAAATTTAACTTAGAGCTTAAAGTGGTCCAAAATTGTTCTCATTTTCTAGGCACCAGGGGGCTTAGCACTCCCCAGAGCGTGTTGGTCTCTATCAAAAATTGTGAACCCCCCTGTCGGACAGCTTAGTACATCCTAAAGCTACTAGCCTACAAGAACCCCTGGTTGATGCCCTGATTAAGTCACCAGTACATAGAAGTGGTCATTGTATGATTCCAAGATGCAAATCAATATTTCACCATTTTCAACCAATTTCCTCCTCTTGACCTAATGACCTTCTCTAGAGCAAGACTCAAAGGCATTTAAGATGTTAAACATTAAGATTTTCATTGACTTGCTCATGAAATTAAATATGTAAATTATATAATGTTGCACTGGTGTTCAGTTAATAACTTCCATACCCCAATTACAGGGTATGGAGGTCTATAATATGAGGCAAACATAATCAGGGTACGGAAATCTACTGTATGTGGGTGTATTATCTGAGACCACAATTGGCAGGGAATTGAGGAGGCCACAATTGGCAAGGAATTGAGGAGGCCACAATAGGCAGGGTATGGAGGAGGCCACGACAGGCAGGGTATGGGGGAGGTGACAATAGGCAGGGTATGGAGGTATATGTGCGTACACAATATGAGGCCACACTAAGCAGGGTAGCGTATGGCTGAATATGTGTGTATCATAAGATCATAATAAACAAAGTATAGAGGTGTATGTGGGTGTAGGATGAGGTCATAATAAATAATGTACGGAGGTACAGTGTATGTGGGTGTACGAAGAGAGGTCACTGAAAGCAGGGTATGAATATGTTTGTGTTCATAACAACAGGGCCAGGATATACAATATATGTGGGTATGTATGTGGGTGTACAATAAGAGGCCACAAATCAATTCTTTGTGTTCATTTGTCTGGATATGTGGCATGTATGTCTCGAAATGGGTGAGTGCGTATATAGACATGAAGAGATCAGAGCACTTTGGCATTACATTTTCTTATTTTATATCATAAATCTACTTATTTTTTCAATATCAAATATGATTTTACCTCTTGCCATCCGTGTGTTCAATATCGAGCCAGATTACATCTACTGGGATATCATACTCATCGAAGTTGGCATCGACACTAGAAATACAGGAAAGAAGAAATATAAGGCATAGGCAGACATAAGGCCAAGAGCGTATATACGAAAAAGTACATTATGGCATATTAAGATAGAAAACTACTTAAAAATCCAGCCAAGTGCAAGCCCCTGCACATATTTTATCCTAATCAAGTTTAGCTGAATTATATGCATGGCTAGAATGCTCCCAAAAGAGTGGGGAAAGTTATACTTTATGTCTGACTCTGTAGCCAGTGACCAGGGAAACACAAGTTCATTGGAAGTTTGGTTTGTTGCTAAAATGATTTGAACTATATATATGTGCAAATACACATACTGTACATACATGATTGTAGACATACTGAATTATGGATTTTTAAGCAAAATCTATATAAAAACATTAAAAAATAAAAAGTTTAAACAAACACAGGCTACCAAAAATGGATTTCCCCCTGACGCTGAAGTGTTATTGTAAATATCTTCATCAAAAATAAACATGAAAACCTATGTAATTAAAATCAACATAAAAACACTGGATTTACTTATGAATTTCAATGGCAATATCAGTGGATCTAAAATCAAGCAAAATGAATTTACTCCTGAGGGCGCTGTTGTCATTATTTGACAAGGAGAGAATCTTTCTCCAAATAAAAAATAGGCTCCCAGCAGAAACGTGTGTCTATTGCCTATTAATGTACATTACTCTATCTCAAAAACATAATACCACGTACTAGAGAGCATCCTTCAAAAAAAGGCGTGTGCTGCATCTCTATGATGCATGTTTGAGGCTTAAACACCGATTTGTTGAGTTTTAGGATCCATCCACTGTCCAATAGAGCGCCAACTACCTCGTGGTAGTAATACCCACCGTGCACAGCCACCAAATTTACTCGATCTTACAGGGTTAACTGCTAGACGATAACATAGTGTATATGGCTCGAGGGGGCAATAGACACAAAAACAAAAAAATCACAACTTTTCTCTACATTCAAGGGTTTTCCAGTAATCCTGCAATATATTATAAGTATAATTTGATGCCCCAACAGGTACCTATCCTCCCGAGCAGAGAGGAAAAACAATAAGCGCCTTAACCAACAAATAATAATAATAATTTTCAATTAAAACAAACTATTCCATGCATTTTACGAAAGTTAAAATAGACAAATCAAATCAAAATACATAGAAAATATTATACGAAAGCTTAAGATAACAAAGTACCAAATTTAGATATAAAAAGTACAAATTTAATATTATCATATAGGATTTAATAGGAAGCCAATGAACAGAGCCAACAATAACCACTCATTAAAATTACAAAAGTATTTGAATAATAATTAATAAGATCAATAAATTTAAAAAGTGGTAACAAAAACAATCCAGCAATTGTCCAGCACACCGCTGAAAACTGTCCAGCACACTGCATACATTTAAATGGCGAAGGTAGTGCACAAATTTAAGATAAAAAAAGGGAGGAGGGGACCAGCTCAGCCCAGCCCAGCACAGCCTAGCCTGGCCTGGCCTATGAGGAAACAATACTGTGAAGCCAACCATATATACAACTTCTTTTTATAATTATCTTTTAACATCTGATTGTATCATGTCATTAAAAAATGTAAACCCAAGAAAAAAAAAACCTGTTTCTTGTATGAACTAAGGAAGAAGGTACTGTACTATTAGTCAGACTGTTAATACAACTGTTGGTAATAATATGGTATTCCAGTGAATAGTTAGAATGCAAATTTTACTAAAAATCATGGCAGAAAAATGTAATGGCAGAAGAATGGAAGCATGCAGAGATGAGAAACTAATTCATTTTTTTTACTTGGCCTAAATTTAGAAAACTTTCATTTCTATAAATCTTCTGTACTCGCCAGACGATGCATATGTACAGCTGTCCAAGTAGTCTACTTTGGGAAAGCACACAGAGACAAAATGACAATAAAACTACTAGAGCCACACGGTAATAAACTTATGCGCACAAGCTGTGAACTGCGACCTTCATCCAGGAATTTATATAGGCCACTGTCAGTCCCCAATACTTCGTAACACTGCACATGTCTGTCTAGACGCTGGATGATTCAATAATAGATATGACATTTCCTGTATTCATTACAATTGTTTTAGGAGTCTGTTTGCGTGCTGTCTAATATAGCTAAATTCAGAAGATAATTATATATCAATGTCATCTGTAATGAGTGGGTAATTCTCAGATCTATTGAATATGGACTAGTTGGGGAGTATGCATTTTAGGTAACTTTCTTTAAACTAATTAAAATTTTGGTTATGCAGTAATGTGCTATTGTAAAAACATGCCAATACTCTCGATGCTTGCGTCCTTGAGTAATACATTACCTCGTCCTTGGATGTGACATTGAGCTGTCAGCCCCATGTGCACAAAAAATAACTCGGGACACTAGTGCGCCATTTTAGCGCTTAAAGAATCATAATGCATTTTAACTTATCTAGGCCTAGAAGCATATTTTGTAAATAAATATTCACCTACAAATGTTCTTCGAACAAAATTATTTATGCGAGTCAAGTGAAAATAATGAATAGTAAACAAATAATAGAGACACGACCCATTGTCTATATTAGAACACTTCTCATTGGGTAACAAAGTCGTAATTTTTCAGTTTTGTCAAAAAGTGTCTATAGTGTGGTGAATTATGGTTTAGGTTTTTTTTAATAAAGTTTCAAAAATTTCTATGTATGTGGAAAATGTAGTTGATTACCAAAGGTTACAATTTTTATTTTGAAGACTGCATGGTCTAGGTAGTGTACATTTTTTTATGGGGCAAGTTTCCAAGGGTGGGTTTTTTCTAGGGGCGAGTTGACTGCCAAAGAGTGTTGCCAAAGTGCGAGCCAGCGTGTTATTTGATCACAAGTGCGAGACATATCACAAGTGTGAGCCAGCGAGCCATGACGTCACGACAATAGATAGAGACGTTAGCCAGTTGTGCGAGGTCTCGGCTGAGATTTGTGGAGTACAATTCAAAAAACAACTATATGTCTAATAATGAATTATTGTGATGTTAAATAGACAATGTTAGCTATCAAAGAGCGACGTTGTTTTTCATTGGGACCTTCATCTTCAAGGCTAGGACTATACCATCCTAGCTAGTCTAGGCCTAGAGTAGGATAAGGCTAGCGCGACATGCGGACGTTGGTACGAGTAGGATAGTCTACAAACGTCGCCTTAAGTAATTGATTTTACCCGGCAGAACGAAACTCCGCTTTTCAGTCGTCTTAGGCACTTTGACAAACAATGACTTTTCAGAGGTCAAATTGCTGTCAAGAATATAAATTGGCTGCTTCGCAGCAATAAAATCAGCATCCCAAATACTCAATTTATTGCATCCTTAACAAATTATTACCTTTTCACGTCATCTTCATCATTGTAGTTCCATCGACATTGGTGGTAGCTAATAGCAAACAGCTGCAAATGGGAAATAGATTTAAACATAAATAATGATAAAATAATACGTTTGATGAAGATTTCCAATGCATATTTTCAAAGGTAATATCATTATTCTATGAGACTGCTTCCAATCAATGGTATATTAAGATAAATCTTAAACTTCTTGAAAAAGCAATTTTGAGGAATTTAATCATTTTTTCAGATCATGGAATGGAAAAATCATGTATATTGAATAGGGAATGAGGACTATTTTAGGTAGATGGTTCGCACATGGTGCCCTTGGTCATTTTTTTTAAGGGAAAGGTTTTTATTCTTCAACTCTCCTTTCTTTAGATGCATCGTTGGTAACTGATTAACTTACCGGTGGGATAGGTGTGGTTCCTGTGAGAGACGCGTACTGGCTAAACACATCATCTGGTGATGGTCCCAAAAGAATGAACACATCAATGATGCCACTCTCGGAGAACCAATGGCTGTCCACCTGGGGGATGTCACCGCCACCTTTCACCAAATCAAACATTTTGCCAAAAAGAGACTGAAATGAAACAGGTATCATTTAGTCATGGCCTACAACACATACCATAGTTTTGATTTTTTTTATCATAAACAAATAAAAATACAACAAACTGTTAAATAGTATAATTTAAAACTAATCATTACTCATTTCTGAGTTCTTTTTAACAATTACAGCTGTTCATGTGGTATATGCAGCTTCAAGTTATAACACAAACCAATCACAGAGAAGGAAAGCAAAGAATGTTTACACAATGTAAGGATTACATACCCTGTCTGCAGTGTTGGAGCTGATGTCTACCCATGTTTCAGCAGCATTAAGCCAGAATATGCCAATAGTACGCTCTGAACTGTAATAAAATAGAGAAAATATGACAAAATATTTTTTATTGTTCTAACATTTTTAAGATACAATGTGGAAATTTGATTTGCATTGGTATACAAAATAATATTTACAGACAAGTCCAACCATGAAAAATAAAATGCGATATGAGAGGGAGATATTACAACATTTATAAGATGTTGAAGAGCATCAGACACCAATTCAAAGCTGTATTTAAAACAACCTGATGAAATAATGGACTGTTAATATAATGAACTGCATTGATTTACAAATTAGAGTATTTGTCTGTCATGGTCGGTGTGAAAGCACAGTCTTGGACCATAACAATTATATTTGATGTAGCCATTTAATGGATGTGAACTAACTTTCATTATACCAAAAGTTTCTTTAGTAAATCATCCTCATTTGTTGTTGTTCTAATATTAGTCCCAATACACCTAACAGCATCATCTAAAATATGACCTTGGCAAACTTCAAATAAACACGATTTTAAATTATTTGAAGGTTTCATTCTCTAAATAAAACAGATTTGGGATTGAGCCATGCAGTGGCAAAGATTGTTTAATTCATACTTACTTGTGGGCTAACATGTATGGAATTGAGCCATAGAGGGCCATAGGATTGTTAAGTTCATACTCAAACACATCCAGATTAAATAATCTATATGGATCAGTATTCCTGTAAAGTAAAAACATCAAAACATAAACCACTTTTAATAGCTAGTTATATTAATTTATTCTTAATAGTAATGATTATGATGAAGGGACGTAAATTTTTTTAATTTAGTTTTTTTTAAACAAATTTTTTCCTTGTTAAATTTCAAATATCAAACTAATTATTAATTTTAAAGCAATTTATTATTTATGGATCTTTTGGTGTTTAAAATGTATCTTCCTTGACATTTTTTTAAAAGTTGATATTATCTCTAACTGTTTGCCAGTCTGAAAATAATTTCCATTTTATTTTGTGCAATGGACAAATAAAGTCCATTATGATTTGATTTGATTTTTTGTACTCATTGTGGTTATTAATTGGTCAAAAAGCTATCCATATCTTGGAAGGCCTACATATTTTTTGTTAAAGCTCATGGATCTCCATTTAGTTTGCTTTCCCTTTGAGTTGGAGTCCCAGACATGCGCCCTGTTCTGCACCCCTGTAGTTATGTCTTTCCGATGTTAATGGTAGTAGTTCTTCTACTTGTTTTCCATTTTTCAAAGGTTCATTACCGCCTACATTTTCAAGCTTTCCATTCATTCATTCATTCATGGATTTTATTCAATATCCAATATAAAAAATTCAGGCAAAAAAGTTAAAATTACGATTATGTCATAAAAACAACAAAATTACCATAAAAAAAATAAGGGTCATACTCCCCCAGACCTTGCTCATTTCATTCCAAGGACACCTGCCTACATAACCAATCTAATAACATGATACTCTCTTGGTTGTGATTCACTTAGGTCCGCCATTAAGCTACTTTGTAAAACCAACAAGTGCAGACTCCCTACGGGAATCATGCTTTTTCTATCTCCGCCCCCAATTTGAGGAATGGATAACCAGACGATGTTAAAAGATTACCAAGTCTGACAAATTTCAAGTCTGGACTTTAAAGTATTTTTACTTGCAAATGTCGAGTAGTTACTCTGAGGACTTAACGCGCCGTTAAATGTTCCCTCAGGCTTAATGCGCCATTAAATGTTCCCTCAGAACGCATACCGGTGCGCTTAAGTGTTCATTATTAATATTCATTATATAGTCTTGTCTGCGCTTCCAGACAAGTGCGTAAAAGCTGACTGGGTTGCCAACGTTTTTTCATTACATATAAAAAAGGTTTAAACTATCAGGTTTTAATATGCGACAAATATTGGCATGATGATGTCATATCAAACCCATATTTGAAAATTACAGGGCTTTGCTATATAACACTTAAATAGTTAAAATTCTTGTAGAAGTGACCTCAGTTACACCTTGTAAAGGTCTGTCCACACTATCACGTTTCCTGTGACAAATATATGTGATTTGCCCATATATGGGCATGATGACATCATATCATACTCATACATAGGCAAATTAGAGCTATTTGTCACAAAATAAATTTGTCTGTGTGAACAGTGTTTAAAAAGTCCTAGCTAGCAGTGAATGTGTTAAGAATGTTATTGAAATCTGTCACTAAAACCATTTTAAATTTTAATTTCTAATTAATTTTTAGGTGGGCCTAATAATTTTTATGAATGCTTTGAAATCCATATATCAATTTCAATCCACATTAGTCATAAATTACTATGATACAGATAATGTTTACAACCTAGAACATAATATAGTGCAAGAGCCTCTATGTACTTTATAAAGGTCATGTGAAGAACCAACTGGAGAATAAGTGAGCATGGCATGCCATTTATTCATAATTAATATTATGAATACAACTTCTTTCTGTAACTGTGTTAAGAAGATATAAATTTCTAAAAGTAAAAATATCATACAGTGTTGTCTTGAGAGCAAAGGTGTCAGCATGTTCTGGGATGCCGTAGACATGTTCGAAGTCAATGAAAGAGAAATCTAAACCAACGGCTGATGGTCCTGTGATGATAAGAAAGGATAGAAGCATCTTTAACAACAATGTGAACATACTTAATAATAATATAGGAATGTATACCGTGCATTTTGTAAAGGGATGCAAGGTGCTGGCAATGTTGTTATCATTACCCCTGGCCATTGGATCCATAATCAAACCTGCACAGTGTGCAACCTCCTCCACTCATATTTCTAGTAGTAAGACCTTAGCAACAGTATCCAAGGTGCCTAACTTAGGGAAATGTCCATTAAAGGGAGATATGTAAATGAAAATGTTAATTATATTGAAATTGTGAGATAAGCAGCCTTACTTTGAATTATAGTATAAGTGGAGATGGGAAAATGGGGACATAGTTTTTATTTTAATAGGAATTTGAAGTTATTCAATGAATGGAAGTAGAAGACACTAGGTTTGTTTTTTTGCCTAGCAAATATAACATTAATATCACAAAGTCTATTATTAAATTAGCATATCATTTGCATAATATTAATATATTCACATCCTAATCTGAATATCATTACAATAATAATACATGTGCTCACCATTTGGCTTGGTGTCCTTATGAGTTTTGAATGTCTCCTCCCACATCCCTGGTTCTTCGTCTTTTTCCTCTTCTTTTGCTTCCTCCTCTTGCTTCTCCTCTCCTTCTGCCTAAAATGAATGATAATCATATTATTGATAACAAAATTGATGATAATTATAATAATAATAACAATTAGAGATATAAACTTTATTCACCTGTTCATCTGCATTTTCATCTTTTTCTTCTTTTTCAGACCTGTAGGCAAGAAAATAATCTAACATAAAATGCAAATTAATAAAACATACTTTTACTCCTTCCTAACAAATTTATTATTAGCATTTAGGTATATCTAAATGTTTCACAAAAACAATTTTTTTACAGACATTACATAAAAATACTGTTTGAATGTGCAATATATTAACTGATATAATTACATCTATAATATTTGGAAATGTTATATATTTTGCTACATATTTATTTGTATTATCTATTTGATCAATATTTTTCTAGTCTTTAATATAATAATGTATTAAATAGAAAAGAGAAATTTTTAAGAGTAAAGTATTGAGGGAATGGATTTGAACCTACAGTAAACATCAGACATAATATGCTGGTGCTTTACCAACAGACCAGATATTGTACTTCATTGACTATATGTGACCAAATATTTATGTTGGTATCTACTGAAACAAGTGAAATTATTTCACGTAACACTACAGGATATTGAATCTTTACTGACTGATCATTGCTGCTTACTTTGGAGGAATTTTAGGCCTAATAGCTTGGCAATATTCTGCCCAGGAACCCCTTCCCGGATCCGAATTGTACTTGGAGCCAAAAACTGAGACGAAACTGCAAGCTATAGAATCCATCAGGCCTGAGACCATGCCAGTCACACCCCTAGAAGATAGCATGAGGGCGCTGTTAGATTTCCTGGACATTTGGTTTTCAGTCAGGCTATTTTTTTTACAGCAAAGCAATAACTTAAGCGGATTTGTTTGAACTTGGCCTGCAGGCCCCTTCAACTTTTTCAATATTTATTTAAAAAATGGTGAAAAAAGGGATATTACATTCAAATTTAAGTTTGAGAGTGCCATTTCAATCACTCTAGAGGTGACCATAATTATAAATTTTCTCACCTCAGCCCCTGTCTATGGCGGGGCTGAGTTGGTCTAAACCCATCTTTGAAAGTTCCTCCCTGGACGCCCTCTATTATAAATTCCTGAATTCGCCACTAACATGCAAATGTTCTTTAAACTATTGCTTCGTCGACTTCAGAAAAGATTATCATTTGATACCAAACTTGATTGAATTAGTTATTAACAAATTATTCCTTCAAGCTTTCTTGTTAGTATAAAGCAATTCAATTTTATCACTGGAAAATTATAGCAGAAAAAATAAATCTACAAAATAAAGGGCAACACTACCTAAAATATAGTAATGAATTTATACCACATCCTTCATTAACACTATAATGAGATATTCCAATAATAACAACAATTAGCAATAGTAGCAAAAGCAGCTTTGGTAGAAGTAGAATAGCATTAGTACTGTACAGTAATCACAGTTATTATTAGTATTATATTAGTTAAAAACCCCTTTTTACCTACTGTTATTATTAACAAAGTTTATATATTTTCAGAGGATTAAAACCTTTCATGAACAATTTTTTGTAGAATTCAACAACTATTTGCATAACATGTAAATATTAAGTAGATATTTTTGTCTGATTCTTCCTAGTTAAATCAGGAAGAAAATTTGATTAAATGAAGATCTTCTAAAAGCCATGGACATTATCTTGAATGAATAATCACCAAGGCTATAATATCTAATAACATTTTACAGCTGATTTTACAAATTCGCATTATAGTTTTAGGTTTCATATGCACGAGTTCAGATTACACAATTTGGCTGGTATACGGGGTAAGCAAGCAAGAGAACTATCTACAGGAACCTTGGTATTAGTAGAGTTTTGACCCTCATTTCAATAAATCTATTTCTGAAAATCAATGTTTCCTATTTTAAGTTTAAATCACTTCATAGAATGGAAATCACTTAAGTAATCAATCATAATCTGAAAATTGCCGTTTCAGACAAACAAATCGAAAAACGATATTTTGTGTGGCTTTTTTATCATGCACAAGTCTTTGTACGACTAAGAAATGACTGAACTCCACATGTTTGACACTAACCTTATTTATTTATGCCCGCATAAACCAACCAATCAGAGAAAAGATAACATTTAATGTTTTTGTGATGGATCTTTGCTATAACTGACCATAACAAATGTACGAATGACCTAGAAATTAATGTGATACTTGATACAATGATGATAAAGATGAGGGTATGCAATAATCAGAGTTACAATAGAAAACAGGATTAGGGCTAGTGAGGATGGACTAGATTCATGACTGGTGAAATCTGGGCTAATGAAATTGAACCAGGATCAGTGCTAGTGACCTAGGTAGAATCTGGGCTAGTGTGAATGGATCCGGATAAGGGGTAGTGAGAATGAATCAGGACAAGGGCTAAGGGCTAGTGAAAATATATTTGTGCTAATAGTGATAATGTGGTGAAAATGAACCAGAATAATGTCTGGTGATAATCTGGGCAAGTGAGCAGAATCAGGGCAAGTGAGAATCTAGGCTACTGAGAATAAGCCTGAATGAGAGCTAATGATGATCTGGACTAGTGAGCAGGATCAGGGCTAGTGAGATCGGACTAGGATTAGGGCTATTGTGAATCTGGGCTGGTAGAAATAGACCACGATCAAAGCTAGTAAGTGTCTGGTCTAGTAGTGAAAATTAACCAGGACCATGGCTAGTGAGAATCTGAGCTAGTGAGAATGGACTAGAATCAGGGCCAGCATAATTGGCAAGCCATGTAAAACAAGTATTCTAAACCATGCTTTTCTTTACCCTTGTCTTTTTCGGAGTTCCTCAAAGCTCAACAACCCACGAGTGTTGACGCTGACGATCAAGTCATTAAGCTGAATGACGTCAATACGGAATGGCTGTTTTGAGATCACGACTTCCACATCATTTGCCATGGCAATTGTTACGGCTGACTGATCTTGCTTTTTGATAATCCAACTGTAAAATCATTAAAATGGTAGAATATTTTCAATTGAAGAGTAAGACAGTTAACAAATTTTAAAAAACAAGGATCAGCTTACTTTAGCCTTGTATTCCAAGTTAATCAATGTATTAAAATCAAACATTGTCTAGTTATCAAGAAGATTAACTATCAGTCATGCATGACCAAAACACAAACTGGAATGAAACGTGATTTTTTTTTTTTTTGTGACTCATTTAGTTTTTTTGACAATTGACCTTGAAAACGTCAACATGCGATATGTGACAACATGTATCCATTCTGACGTATGCTCAATGGTGACGCCATGAGCATTCCCTTGGAATGGATACGGGCACACTATAAAATCATGATATTATTACTACTATTAAACAGGGATGTAGTCCAAAGTTACTTTCATTACTTTTATTAACCCCTTTATCTAAAAATTATTATATAAAAAAAACACATACATAGATTCTAGGCATCTGATTCGTTAAGAAGCAGGGAAAAATAGAAAGTACTATATACCCTATGGTATAGTATTTTTCTACCCTGCCGCGCGATGTGCAATCTCGAGGCCGCATTGCTATGTAATTAATGACACGCACGAACGGTAAAGTAGACGCAACCTCTACAACACTGAGAGAGACTGGCCCTTTGATCGCCTAAACCTAGGCTTATTTGGTGTGTACTATTTTCATTTCATTTTTAGGCCTCGTAGAACCTATGTATGAGGTATATAAAACAAATATTAACTGCTCTAGATTCAGGGAATGATGAAATCTATAGTCCTTCAGTGGTGTGGAGACCATAGCCTGTGATCGCTCCACATCACCTTGGGGCAATAGATTTCACCATTCCCCTCATGAGCAGTCAATTATTATCATTATTATTATTATTATTACATGAATTACCTTTGTGTTGGAGGATCCCTAATTAAAGTATCAGGAACTTCATAGCGCTGTTTGATTGGATGGAGTTCGTTGATCTTTAGCCTTACCATGTTAGACTTCAATCCATGTACTTCAAGGCTTAGGACTACTCCACTTTTGGTATTCAAAACATTTAACTTAACAACGCCACCAGATGACTGCAAGGAGTCTAGCAGAGCAACATATGGAGATTGTCCCGGTGGAATTTTTCTAGTACGCCTGGAATGGAATACATTCAATTTCAATTTTATTTTAAAGGTCACATTTATACTAATGTACACTTATAATAATTCCAAATATCAATATAAGGCCCTATAAAAATATTAGTTTATTATCCTATCTAGATTGTAAAAGTGATAAGGGAGGAAACCTTTTTTTATTTTGCTAAAGCCAAATATCATGCTTGGGTTGTTTGCTGGTGCATTGATATTCAAAGTAAAACATGATTCAGATTAATATCTACTTACATATTTAATAAAAACAAAATGAAAAATGCTTTTTTTATTTTTTTATTTTTTTTTTATTTTCTTTAAAATATTTTTCTTTTCAGTACCATAGAATATGCATGCAAGGGTGATAAATTAATAAAGAAATTTTATTGGGCCTAAAATACGGATTAAAAATTAAGCTCTGGTTTTGCATGGAATCCTTAAAAAAATATAAAAAAAACAACAACAATGCTAAAAAAAGCATGAACTATTGTAATCTACAGTAAATGTATTTAATATCAAAGTAAGGCAGGGGGGAGGGGATCTGCGCCCTTTGGGGCGGGGAGAGTGGTTGAACTAAGTGAGTTCATCTCTGGCGTAAAAAATGCTAAAGATACATACAATGGATTCAGACTGTAAAGTAAGTCCTGCGAAGGGAATACATCTTCTGTGCAAAAATTAGGCCTTGAAATTCATTATTAGCACATTTCGGAAAATAGGGGAAGATTTCCGGGCAGGTTTTGCTGAAAATTAGACTTTAACATAATCATTATATAACCAATGTATTTGCAGTAGTTACGATTCCTCAGACCTATTTTCCTAGCGATTTTCGGTGGAAATTTGAGCTAGTTTTTGAGGTATCATCTGCGCAATTAAAAATTTTTATGGCAATATAGTTCAGAAATATTAGTTCTAAGCTAGAAAAGATATAGGTTTATTTGTGTGCTCTTGAAACACCATGAGGTAAAACGAGATGAACTCACAAGATCCAACATTTAAAGCAATGAATTTGACATAAACCCATTTCCAAATTGTCTGAAATTAAAGGCCCATTCCCGGCAAAAATTCAGTTGTTAAGAAAAATCTGATTTTTATATATGTTATAAAGATTTATAAATATACAGTAATACAAAATTGCTAGTTAAACTGAATTTAGAGATTCCTAAAACATGAAAAAAATGTAAATTAAGACTGAAATTTGATTTTTTGTGTTCCACACAAAAAATAAATGCGGATGAATTTCTTTATGTTTGATTTTGCGATAGGTCTGCCAAGAAATATGGTAGGCGCTGGAAACATTAGCCTATCCAACACTGCTAGGCTAGGCCTAGTCTTACCTCAATTTAGGTTCTGTTATCACACATAAAAACGGCCGACATGATATTTTCCGTTGCTAGTATTGACACTTGTGAAATATAATATTTAATAGGAATTATTTCAAATTTGTTAAAAAAATAATTCTGACCGAGATTTTCACAACTAAACAAACATATCTCAAGCCTACTCGATCGATCGCAGTGTGCAAGATGCGAAGTACAAAAACTAATCTCATTAGAGAAGGCATACTTTATTGAATGTATAAAGTAAACATTCCAGTGGATGCGGTCCACAACCTCTGGATCTGCCCAGTAATGAAGAATTCATTGAGAAAAACGGTAATCTGTATTTCTCATTTTTTTAATTCTTTTGAGTAAAACTAAAATTTATGCCAATATTTTTTCATGGTTTATAATAATTAGAGTAATGAAGATACATTTTTTCTAAAAAATTCTTTTCTTAGTGAAAATTTGCTGGGAATGGGGCTTTAAAAGGGACTACTTATTTTTTTAAGTGTGATTGGTAAAAATTAATTATTAAATTTAAATAACTTACTTGCAAAATGCACTTTGATCACATGTCTTGAAGTTACTTTTATCAACAGCTTGTACGACGAGAACAAAAGCAATCACATACAATACCACACGCTGTAACATCCTACAACATTTTCAAATAATTTGAGTTAGTATCATGCCTTCCCATTATTTTCCTTTTAAAATCATTAATTTAACAAATTTGCATCCTAAGCTTGCAGGCCTATCTAGCCCTCCTTGCCATACACATACATGTTACGGTCAAAGGGAGTAGGCCCATATCGCCCTCCAGAACGGCCGCCAATGTGTGTATATGTATGGAACGCCGATGACGCATTCACAATTAATAATACAATACCGCTCGCTAAATACAAAGCTTTCGAATCAAAAAGGCCCCAGTCAACTCGGCCCAGCAGGTTAACTAGGCCCTCTTTTTCATTTTATATATAGGCCTACACACTATATAAAACTACTTAAAAAATAACTATTAAAACAAATAAATAAATTGAAGTCACCTTAAGAATTGTAAACATCATAAAAATATAATAAAACCATTGCTCCAATCAAAACGTTCAATAGATTGAAGTTCTTCTCCATTAAAGTATGGTATTCGTTTCTTATTATTATTATATAAAGCTAGTTTGGATTTTATCTATTACATCATAATTTATATATAGGCCATATATATTTAATTATGTATACATATATATATATATACTTTATATAAGAATAGGTTGAAAATTGGTTTCCTCCACTGAAGTATTTCATACATATGATTTTCGTTTCTTAATTCTATATACTCAAATATGTACACGATTCATGCCATCGATTCAATCGTTTGTTGCTCAGTAAAAAGCAACAATACTAATATTGTTTCATTATTTATTATATAGGCCATATATATATATATATATATATATATTATATCATTATTTATATATAGGCCACATATATTTAAATATGTATACATATATAATTTATA